ATGAACCAGTTATAGCATGACCCAGTTATAGCATGACCCAGTTATAGCATGAACGAGTTATAGCATGAACCTGTTATAGCATGAACCAGTTATAGCATGAACCAGTTATAGCATGAACCTGTTATAGTATGAACCAGTTATAGCATGAACCAGTTATAGCATGAACCAGTTATAGCATGAACCAGTTATAGCATGAACCAGTTATAACATGAACCAGTTATAACATGAACCAGTTATAGCATGAACCAGTTATAGCATGAACCAGTTATAACATGAACCAGTTATAACATGAACCAGTTATAGCATGAACCAGTTATAACGTGAACCAGTTCAAGAAGAGCCAAAATGTATCTCATGAATAAGGCTACAGAAAAAAAAGGAGAGTGATTTCTTGTATGAAAATAACTAAGTTTACCTCTCCCTTGGTATAACTTCTTTTATTGTAACTGATTTTACATAGTTAAGGTACTTACCTGTTTTTAACTTTCAAATATAAATAATAATTATCACGAGGACCCCAGTGGAAACAAGTCACTCTTACTATTTTTTAAGTTATCCTAGACCTAGGTTCTTTACACGTATGCTGCTGTATATGATAATGTAACTGTATTTGTGTATACCTCAATAAACTTACAATCACTTAATAGACGAATAACTTCTAAGATATTCCTGGTATCACGTCCTAGCATATTACTCGAGAGCAATTGTTGTGTTTTTGAAAGAGAGAGAGAGAGAGAGAGAGAGAGAGAGAGAGAGAGAGAGAGAGAGAGAGAAAGACTTGACCCAGTAGTGAGTGATCTGGTAGGGGGTATAGTAACTTGTCAACCCCTCGGCTACGTTGGATCATCTGACCACAAGGCTGTTTTTACGACACTTAAGATCCCAATAAAACGAGGTGAGAGGTCCACACTCACAACCTAAGCTCGCCACCACCGATTGGAATGCTCTTCTCCAAGGGGATGTTGACAACCAAGTGAAAGCGTTCACTGGACACATCCTAAATCTACAACAAGAACACATTCCTCACCGGCAATACTTGACAAAGCCTACAGATCAGCCTTGGTTTGGCTATCGTTGTAGAGAGGCTGCTACTGCTAAATACAAGGCATGGCGAAGGTATAAGAGACATTCTACCATCTATAATAGGAACTTGCACAAGCAAGCCTGTAGGCATATGGGCGAAGTTCAAAAGTGGGCCATGGCTAAATGGGAGGTGGACACTAAAAAAAAGCTAGCGTCAAGAAGAATAGGCTCCAAAACCTGGTGGTCCCTGGTCAAGGACAGACAAGGTTATCTGCCTGATGAATTCATTCCACCTCTAAATCGACAGGATGGGACCACCTCTACTAGTAGTCAAGAGAAGGCGGACCTCTTTGCCGAACACTCTGCTACCAAAATGCAAGTTCTTGATCCAGCAAGGGACTGTCCTTGGCTAGCTGCAAGAACTGTGTCAAAACTGTCAGTGGTGACAATAAGGCAGGAGGAAGTGTATTTCCTTTTTGAATCGCTTGGCCAAGAAAAGGCTGTAGGCCCAGACAAGTTGAGCCCAAGATTACTGAGATGTGCAGACCAGCTACCAGCACCTCTAACTCGCATCTTTCAGCACTGCCTAGTACAGTGTAAATGGCCTTCTCTGTGGAAAGAGGCAAATGTAGTCCCTGTTCACAAAAAGAAGAGCAGAGCAGAAATCAGCAACTAGAGACTAGTGTTACTCCTGCCAATCACTGGTAAGATCCTTGAGACAATAATCTCAAGACAAATGACAGTGTTTTTTGACTACCACTCACTACTTTGTGACCGTCAATATGGCTCCAGGAAAGATTACTCTGCTGCTGATCTGTTGTTAAATCTCTCCACTAAATGGCACCAGTCACTGGATGAATCCAAAGTCAGCTGTGCAGTAGCACTGGACATTGCTGGTGCTTTCGACCGGGTGTGGCACCAGGGCCTCTTAGCAAAACTGTAAGCTCTGAGAATTGCAGGCTCTTCGCTATGGCTCCTCAGTGATTACCTTCATGGTAGATCTCTGAGGGTAGTTCTCAATGGAACGGAATCAGCAAGACAACCTACTGGGGCAAGTGTTCCACAAGGAAGCGTGCTGGGACCATTGTTATGGAATGTCTACTTCAATGATCTTCATCTCATTCCAGAATCCCACGCATATGCAGACGACTGTACACAGACATTCACTTATCCAAGAAAAGAAATGCCAGCTGCTCTAAACTATGTCAATCACCAGCTAAGAGCCATATCAATTTGAGGAAACAGATGGCAAGTAACATTTGCACCTGAGAAAACACGAATGATGATGGCCTCTAGGCACCGTGATGGTAATGCCGGTGCAATAGTAAGTATGAATGGGAGGGTGTTGGTACCTGGGACAGAAGTTGAAATCCTTGGGGTGAAATTTGACTTCAAACTGACAATAAAGAACCACGTTGTATATCTTGCAAACAAGGCAGCCAAAAAGCTTACAGCACTTCGCCGTATCTCGCATCTGCTTGGCAGTAGGGGTTGCAAGAATCTATATGAGGCACAAGTACGCTCACACCTTGAGTATGCTCCACTTTCTTGGTTTGCCTGGCCCCCCTCTCATCTGTAACTGCTTGACAGAGTAGAGAACAGAGCAAGATGTCTCATCTCTCGCCTGGACCCATCCTGGATAGATCTGTCATTTCGGCAGAGCCTTCAACACAAGAGGGATGTGGGTGGCCTTACTGTTATGTACAATTCAATTCAAGTTTATTCTCTATAAGGGTTACAATGTGGGGTTTTCAGGTTTTGGGTATTGTGTAGGCTACATGTTATAAAATACTAATTACAGAGGGGGCCACTAGGGCACCTAGCCTGGCTAGGCATTTCTGGCAGACTTAGATTAATTCTTAACAGTAAATCCTTACAGGTTATGGATTTAAGGCTAAGTGACTGCATCATAATTTGTGAGTTTAGCAATGTGAATGCTTTTGTTTTGGCACAATACAAAGTGTCTATATTGGAGTATCATAGGCAAACTTATGACTAGATAGGATTTATTATTTTAAGATTAAGATTAGTATTTCTGGGTTTATAGTCAGTGGGTGAGTGAGTGTAATTGTGAACCACCAGGTGGTTATCATGTAGTTAGTTGTCGGGGTGTATCAGGGAGATAAGATGTTTTCTAACTGTAGTTTTGAAAGTGATGAATGTGTCTGCAGTTCTAGAGTTTTCAGGTAGGGTGTTCCAGATTTTAGGTCCTTTGAAATACCACACTCGGATCCACTTCGAGGACAATGAAAAGCAAGCTTCTATACCACAAGACGGGCAGAAAGCAGCAACTTCACTCTGGCTGTACCCTTCTCCAGAACATCACTTCTTCTGAGATCATTTATCCCCAGAATGGCTCGAGTCTGGAACACATTCGGACAGCATTATGATGTCATCGAGATAAAGCCAGTTGATCAAATGAAAATGCTGGTCCACAGATGGCTCCAACTTCTTTAAGATAAGATTTCGTTCGGATTTTTAACCCCAGAGGGCTAGCCACCCAGGATAACCCAAGAAAGTCAGTGCGTCATCGAGGACTGTCTAACTTATTTCCATTGGGGTCCTCAATCTTGTCCCCCAGGATGCGACCCGCACCAGTCGACTAACACCCAGGTAACTATTTGCTGCTAGGTGAACAGGACAACAGGCGTAAAGAAACGTGTCGAAATGTTTTCACCCGTCGGGAATCGAACCCGGGCCCTCCGTGTGTGAAGCGGGAGCTTTGGCCACCAGGCCACCTACTTCAATGTTTCATAGCAATGAAAATACTTGCATGTTTCTTAACAACTAAACTGCTGTCAAATCAGCTGACGTAGGTAACAGCTCTTAGCAATCATTAACCTGTAAATAACTTGTCAATAAAGTTAGGGATTTTTAACCTAACCTTGTCAAACTCTGTGTAAGAGAGAGAGAGAGAGAGAGAGAGAGAGAGAGAGAGAGAGAGAGAGAGAGAGAGAGAGAGAGAGAGATAGATAGATAGATAGATAGATAGATAGATAGATATTCAGTGAGTGTGTGTTTGAGTGAGGGTATTCATGACTTAAAGCACACAAATGACATTTTTTTTAAGTTACCCCGAGTAATATTTGAATGCTTTCTCTTGTATTCGGCAGATCAGAGAGAACGGCGTATTTATAATCATCTGCGCAAAATCATAATTCGGGCGGGGATTGAACATGCTATCATTTGTTAGTTATCACGAACACTAGCTAATATATATAGGGTGTAAATCATTGGCTGATATGGAGTCAAGACCACTGGTTAACATGCGTGGGATTAAGACTGCTAACATACATATCATAAAGACTAAAATAGCTGTGTTAGGGCCATTAACTATCCTTTGTAGGATTAGGACCAAAAGAAAACAGGTGGGGGTCATGACCAAAAGGTAACATAGGGAGGAACTAGCTAACATGTCTTTGGCACTAACTAGCATACGTAGGGTCAAGACCACTAACTAATAACTGTGAGGTCAGGACCACTACCTAACAAGGATGCACTGTCAGGACCACTAGCTAACACGTGGGAAACATCCTCATCTGCTAGTATATGTGAGGCTAAGTCCCATTGCGGACATGTGTGAGGACATACACAACCGATATCTATCTGAACATTCACATAGCTGACATGTGTTAAGATATACACAACTGATATTTGATAGCAAATACATTTAGATAACATAAGTTAGGTAATTGCCTATTTCCGGTTAGCATAATTTATATACCATAATAATATATTTTATTTTAAATATAATACAGTATCTACCAAATTCTGGAATTATAGAACATCCCTTCCTTGGCTCTGTGACCCCTCCCTACGGTCACCTTGTACCACAGTACCGGTGCCCCCTCATAAGTTCTGATGCTCCCAGGATTATAACAGCTACTTAGGACAGCAAGGATCCTGGTGTGCGCCTCTAAGTCCTAGTGTCCCTCCTCCTCCTGGGTCCTGATGACCTCTAAGATCACGACACTCACCTAAGACACTGCAGGTCTTGGACGCGAGAACCTTGGTAGAGAACTCAATGGGCCCCATTATTCCACTGTGGGTAAAAAAAAAAAAGAGAAAAATACTTTCAGTTAATTTTTTTTTTTGCATTTATGTGTCACTTTCTCTTTATGGACATAGATAAGGAAGAAACATATAATGTTAGATCAATAACAAATATATAACATTGTCCAAATTCTTTTACTTTACATATTCTTAAGTTTAGTCGTACAGGGCAGCTACTAACCAACTCTAACAACAACAATGCAATATTTTAACATGTAACCTTACGACACAAAGGTAACAATACATATATTTCAGTAGCAATAGAGACATTGCAAATAAGTCCATGATAGGTATGGGAATAAGAAAAATACACGATAGAAAAATCCTGACTATGGCTTTAAAAGGACGAGAGATAGATCTGTTAATATGTAGGTTGTGAGGAGGGAGCTAAAAACAAAACAAAAATCTCTGTTGCCCTCGAAGACGGTGGCGCGTGATGACATCCTCCCATGTGGAGTGTTGTCTCTACTGCGACTAGTACAGTACACTAGTACAATACACTGGTATAGTACACTAGCACAGTACACTAGCACAGTACACTAGCACAGTACACTAATACAGTACACTGGACAGTACAACAAGTACACTACACTAGCACACTACACTAGTACAGTAAACTAGTACAGTACACTGGTACAGTACACTAGCACAGTACACTAGCACAGTACACTAGCACAGTACACTAATACAGTACACTGGACAGTACACTAGTACACTACACTAGCACACTACACTAGTACAGTAAACTAGTACAGTACACTGGTACAGTACACTAGCACAGTACACTAGCACAGTACACTAATACAATACACTGGACAGTACACTAGCACAATACACTAGCACAGTACACTAGCACAGTACACTAATACAGTACACTGGTACAGTACACTAGCACATTACACTAGCACAGTACACTAATAAAGTACACTGAACAGTACACTGGACAGTACACTAGCACAATACACTAGCAAAGTACACTAGCACAGTTCACTAGTACAATACACTGGTACAGTACACTAGCACAGTACACTAGAACAGTACACTAGTACAGTACACCAGTACAATACACTGGTACAGTACACTAGCACAGTACACAAGCAGAGTACACTAGCACAGTACACTAGCACAGTACACTGGCACAGTACACTAGTACAATATATTGGTACAGTACACTAGCACAGTACACTAGCACAGTACACTAGCACAATACACTAGCACAGTGCACTAGCACAGTACACTAGTACATTACATTGGTACAGTACACTAGCACAGTGCACTAGCACAGTGCACTGGCACAGTACACTAATTCAGCACACTGGTACAGTACAGTAGCACAGTACACTAGCACAGTACACTAGCACAGTACACTAGCACAGTACACTGATACAATACACTAGCACAGTACACTAGCACAGTACACGAATACAGTACACTAGTACAGTGCACTAACACAGCACTCTAGTACAATGCACTGGTACAGTACAATAGCATAGTACACTAGCACAGTACACTAACACAGTAAACTGATACAGTACACTAGTACTGTACACTAGTACAATACATTGGTACAGTACACTAGCACAGTACACTAGCACAGTACACTAGCACAATACACTAGCACAGTACACTAGCACAGTACACTAGTACATTACATTCGTACAGTAAACTAGCACAGTACACTGGCACAGTTCACTAATTCAGTACACTGGCACAGTACATTAGCACAGTATACTAGCACAGTACACTAGCACAATACACTGGTACAGTATACTAGCACAGTACACTAGCATAATACACTGGTACAGTACACTAGCACAGTACACTAGCACAGTACACTAATGCAGTACACTGGCACAGTACAATAGCACAGTACGCTAGCACAGTACACGAATACAGTACACTGGTACAGTACACTAGCACAGTACACTAGTACAATACACTGGTACAGTACATTAGCACAGTACACTAATACAGTACACTGGTACAGTACACTAGCACATTACGCAAGCACAGTACACTAATAAAGTACACTGAACAGTACACTAGCAAATACACTAGCACAGTACACTAGCACAGTTCACTAGTACAATACACTGGTACAGTACACTAGCACAGTACACTAGAACAGTACACTAGTACAGTACACTAGTACAATACACTGGTACAGTACACTAGCACAGTACACTAGCACAGTACACTAGCACAGTACACTGGCACAGTACACTAGCACAGTACACTGGCACAGTACACTAGTACAATATATTGATACAGTACACTAGCACAGTACACTAGCACATTACACTAGCACAGTACACTAGCACAATACACTAGCACAGTGCACTAGCACAGTACACTAGTACATTACATTGGTACAGTACACTAGCACAGTGCACTGGCACAGTACACTAATTCAGCACACTGGTACAGTACAGTAGCGCAGTACAATAGCACTGTACACTAGCACAGTACACTGGTACAATACACTAGCACAGTACACTAGCACAGTACACGAATACAGTACACTGGTACAGTGCACTAACACAGTTCTCTAGTACAATGAACTGGTACAGTTCACTAGCACAGTACACTAGCACAGTACACTAGCACAGTACACTAGCACATTACACTAGCACAATACACTAGCACAGTACACTAGCACAGTACACTAGCACAGTACACTAGCACATTACACTAATACAGTACACTGGTACAGTACACTAGCACATTACGCTAGTACAATACACTGGAACAGTACATTAGCACAGTACACTAGCACAGTACACTAATACAGTACACTAGTACAGAACACTAGCACAATACACTAGTACAATACACTGGTATAGTACACTAGCACATTGCACTAGCACAGTGTACAATAGTACAGTAGTACAATACACTGATGCAGTACACTAGCACAGTACACTAGTACAATACACTAGCACAGTACACTAGTACAATACAGTGGCAGAGTACACTAGCATAATACACTATCACAGTATACTAAAACAGTACACTATTACAGTACACTTGCACAGTACACTAGCACAGTACACTAGTACAATACACTGGTATAGTACACTAGCACATTGCACTAGCACAGTGTACAATAGTACAGTAGTACAATACACTGATGCAGTACACTAGCACAGTACACTAGCACAATACACTAGCACAGTACACTAGCACAGTACACTAATACAGTACACAGGTACAGTACACTTGCACAGTGCACTAGCACAGTACACTAGCACAATACACTAGCACAGTACACTAACACAGTACACAGGTACAGTACACTTGCACAGTGCACTAGCACAGTACACTAGCACAATACACTAGCACAGTACACTAACACAGTACACTAGTACAATACACTGGTACAGTACACTAGCACAGTACACTAGCACAGTACACTAATACAGTACACAGGTACAGTACACTTGCACAGTGCACTAGCACAGTACACTAGCACAATACACTAGCACAGTACACTAACACAGTACACTAGTACAATACACTGGTACAGTACACTAGCACAGTACACTAGCACAGTGCACTAGCACAGTACACTGGCACAGTACACTAGTACAATACACTGGTACAGTACACTTGCACAGTGCACTAGCACAGTACACTAGCACAGTACACTAGCACAGTACACTGGCACAGTACACTAGCACAGTGCACTAGCACAGTACACTGGCGCAGTACACTAACACAGTACACTAATACAGTACACAGGTACAGTACACTAGCACAGTACACTAGCACAGTACTCTAGCACAGTATACTGGTAGAGTGCTGGCCTTGCACACACACACACACCAAGGTTCAGGTACGATTCTCATCCCGTTTACGTGAATTTAGTTGCCGTCATTCTTAACATTTTACAAAGTATATTCACTCCAGCTTTAGAGAAACAAGAGCTAGATCTATAACTTTGACTGTAGATGGTGGGAAGCTACAAAACGTCTCGTAATTAACGTCGCTGAATGTTTTGACTAAAATCAATCATTGAGGGTTGTTGTAATTAACGTAACCACCTCATCACAATGATCGAGTCCCGTCAAAATACGTATGATTTCATTAAATATATAAAAGAGTGGACGACGACTTGGTCCACAGTCCCTGCAGGTAGCAGGTTCAGCGCTGTAGCCTTACAGCAAAAAGGTTTTTAGGAAAATTTTGTAACCAGTACTATGTGACTATTTTGAAGCTTTCGTCTCATTCAGCGTTCCCACAGCTTCCATGGCGCATCTATTCTCATAACCCCTCAAAGATATAAAGGCAATAGTGGGATCATAAAGAATATCTAATCAGAAAGAACAAAAATGCACAACCTCGTGACTGAAACAATACATATGGAACCCGTACATAGGAGAGAGGAGGTTATGACGACGTTTCGGTCCGACTTGAACCATTTACAAAGACACAATTTGTAAATGGTTCAAGTCGGACCGAAACGACGTCGTAAGCTCCTCTCTCCCATGTACAAATTATTTGTGTATAATATCCAGTCAGATTTACTGTGAAGACTTGTGATGATGACAGCAACAACCAACTTACGAAGTTTTATAAGTTTATTCCCATTCAACTACCAAAACTGTTATGAATGTAGCCCAGTGACTGATACAACAGCCTGGCAATATTATGGACTGGAAAATCGATCACCCTCCCCCCGCCCATTCAATTAAATAAGTTCGTGGATTATAAAATTACCACTTAATACTTTTGTTAGCAAGGACGAACTTAGTGTTGGAGACAAAAGTTCAGGACATCCTGTGACTGCATCCAGCTGGCGCTTACTTACTGCTTAACAAACTCTCTCTTCTCACGACACATAATTTTGTTTATGTATAATTTGTTATTATTTATTCATATGGAATGGCGCTGATAAAATGCTGCGAAGCACATACTATGAGGTGCCAGTTGTCAGGTAGTCAAGTTAGGAGCGGTGAGCTTTACCCAGGTACCGATTATTACTTAGCT